ATTCATCAGCTTCTGGGTACTCAAAATACAGAGCTCTTAAAAGACTAAGGCCTAATAATGATTATAATAAATTAAATAAATAAAACAGTGAATGAATAGTAAAAAGGAAATACCTGTATCATGTGCCTCTCTAGCATAAGTGTATATATAAGGTACCATACTACCTCTCAGTACCATAAATTCATGCATGATCTTATAATTAGCCTATTAAGAGGATGATAATACATTATTACAACTTATTTATAAGCTTACCAATGGGTACACCCATATCCTACGATCATTTAATGCATTCTTGGTACAGTGAGTGCGAAATATTGGAGAGAAAGCTCCCCACTGTATCCACCTGAAAAAAAGACATATGGGGCTAATTACTGGCAAGTTTTCAATACTATATTGATCTTTTGGTAAAATTTAAAAAATTGAAAATCCAACCTCAATATGTATCAGAAAAGTATAACATCTGTGATAAAATATGCTGTACATGTAATGCTAGTTATAGTACAGGGGACTTTGGCCTGATTTTTTGTAAAAAATCCAAATTTGATTGGAATTCGCTCAAGCTTTCTAACAACATAAGGACATGTATACGCATCAGGAAAAATTATAAAAATTGAGAATTCTCTCCTAGTCATTTTTGATGGAATACCCAGTAGTATTGAGCACAGGCTCTTTCGCCAACTTTTAGAGCAACTTGAAAAATTCATAAAAATTAAATTTTGATCACAAACTTTCTACACAAAATAAGGTTTCTTCATTAATACATTTGCCACAACAGCTTCAATATATTTGACAAATAAAAATGAAATAAGAATAGAGGCTTATTTCCGAATGCCACTAACTCAAAAACACTAATCATACCTAGTATAAAGTTCAGGAGGAGATGGCAAAATGTGTCCTCCAAGATCGTGACTCCAATACCCAAAGAGTACATTAGAGGCTCTTAGGGTGAAAGACACTTGATAATTGAGAGAATTCCAGCTCTATGAGTATAAAACAATAGGAATACACAAACTACATAACACAACTCACTGGAATGACATCACCAGAGAAACCAATTTGATATCTGTGGTTACCAAGACCGCCCCAACGATGCAACAGAAAAGGCCTTTTAACTCGTTCCTATAAGCCAAAACAAAAAGGAAACACAAGACATGGAGACAAAAGAGTGAGAGAAAGAAGAAAGACTAACATACATCTATTGGGCCCCATTGGTAAGGATTGGTAAAGAATATATAATTGATCCAAAAGGTAGGATTAAGGTTTGGCATATCAATCCCAGTTTTAGGTCCTTCTTCACCTATCAATCATCATTGAAATCAACACCCTGCATTCTCATGGTCAATACATGTACCTTGCTGCCAGTCCAACCACCAGAAATCAACACCCATATCTTGCAATCGTTTGAGTACTATGCTAAAGAAATTATTAACAAACTACAAGAGTGCAATAATAATTAACCACACATTAATTATCGTGTTGGACTAACTGTGACATTAACAGGCTTCCAAGGTACATATTCAGCCTATCAGTAATAAAATAAAGCTATCATTTTGTGTTGCTGCACATAAGCACATCCTTACCGATGCTTTCAATCCCATAGCCTTAACCATGTCATTAAATGTAACCTCCCACTTTTGTATGCCACTGGCAGGATGAAGATTCAGTGTGTTTCTTAAATTATTAGCTTTACACCTACAGAAATAAGAAATAACAAATAAACTCTTTGTGGTAGTCATGCTGTTAGTTACAAAGACGTGTGCACAAAATAAAGGCTACTATGTCTTAATTGCTACATACCAATCTAAGAACCCTTTAGGATCAGGGAACAGGTTCTTATCCCACGTGAATCCAGTCCATCCCTTTCTTTCTCCAGCCTAATTTTTTTAATTTTCAAAATAAAGACATTTTAAATAAGCCACAATTATAAGTACTAATAATCTACTGACTTACAGGATCTTTTACATTCTCTTTGTAAAATGTTAAATGCCAGTCCATGTCAGTAACAAGGTTATCCAACGGTATATTCCTACTGCGATATCCATTGACCACTTCCTTTAACAAAAAATAATACAATAGTAATATATAGTGAAGTATTAGTATAGTAGAGTACCATTTGGCCTGTGTCACTGTATGCCCAGTAGCGAGAATAAAATATACCGAATGCATATCTAGGAGGTAGTGGTATCTTTCCAGCAACCAGTGTAAAGTCATGCAGTGCTCCTTTATAATCTAAAGGGCAACATGATAAATCCTGAGTTAGTAATGTTATATAAAGTGCACAAGACTTACCATGGCCATGACCAAAGAAGTAGAGGTCTTGGCGAGATTGTTTGGAATAATAACAGTGAGGGATTCCTTTCAAGATTGTCCAGTCTGCCCAACAACAACCCCGTCCTAAACAATCGTCTTGCGATATTGTAGGAAAACCGCACGAACGAACCTACCATATTGAGAGAAAGATGAATACTATAATTTTTAAACAAAACTCTTAAAATTCAATGGAGTACAAGAATTAAACTCACAGTCTCTTTATCATAGTCAGAGCAAGTGCTATTATTTGAGTTGTACATGTAACTAGGGGAAGTGGCCCAGGGCCATTTAGAATCATCAAATTGAGGATATCCAGTATCATCAACTACAGCATAACCATCTCTTGATATCAAACTATAAAGAGATAATGGTCATCACTTTAGAATATTTACTTTAGAGCTACTCACCCAAGAGTACAATGACTGTCACTCTTAGTGGTCTTATAACAATCTAAAAGATCTGTAGTACCATCGTTTCCATCCAATGTCTAAAAAATTAATATTGATCAAACAGAGAAGAATTACCCGTATGCACATGCATGATGAGTTTATATGTACATGTACATGAGTAAACTGCTCATAGTGAGAAAAGAGGATGAATAAAGACACTCACTCGTACTGTTCCCCTTAGATTACCACCCATTGAGTCATTAGTGTAAGGCTGCGGGGACCACGTATCTGACTCGCCGTTAACTTGATACTCAATCTTTAAGTTGTCAGTGCTAAATGACTCACCCGGTAAATAAGAAAGCTGCAAAAAGAGAATCAAAATAATTATTGCTTGCTTTTCAGAATAATAGTTGCTTGTTTTAGAGCAACTTGCACAATAAAATGGAAAAGAAAACTATGTACCTTCAGGTAATCAGTCTGGATGACAGTAGTTTTATGTTCCCCTTCCCCTTCAGTGTAATTCTTAAAAGACGGAGTAGGTAGGTATCTGTTGAGGAAGGTCAGTGTGGCAGAGTCTACAGCTTGACCCCATTCCATACGAATGAGACGTGAAGTTAATACAGTGAATCTAGCCTGACCCGCTGTTACAACTGAATCAGGATTGGGGCGAGGGTTGTAAGAGGGATCAGCGTGGACTGTGGCCCTGCTGGAGAAGAACAACAGGCATGATATAACGAGGAACATCCCCATCACTTTAAGCATAGATCTATGCTTTCAGACTTTATCGTCGGACTTTATATATTCTTAGCTTTCTTCAGATCACGAGATGTTTGTTTTCTTAATTATTTTTGGTCACATGATTTGCTTACCTGTGACACACCCTCACAAATACCCTAAATGTATATCTAATTTGCAACTTGATGTATTGATCCATGCATAATGCCATAGATAATGCACATTTCTGTGCATAATATCTATGATAATGCTTGCAACCTTGCAAGCAATAATGATCAAACTTAAAATAAACTGCTTGATCATGAACTAAAATTATAATAATTCTAATGAGCCTGGTATTAGAATCATCATAACACATTACATGGTAGAACAGTAAAAGAAACGAACTTATGCAGCTAAGAGCTAGGTATGATAGTTCAAATATTAACTAGTCTACCTGCCTCTGAGGTTCTAAATTGCGAAGTCCCTCATTTGAAACTGCTAGACGTTCAGTCTGGTACCATGCTATAGTCTAGAACCTGGAATGGATCATGTGCCTACTTGTTAATGTGTGAAATTTCATTCAAAAGTCACATTTTTCACCCCTAGTAGCAAAAGTTACTGTAGCAAAGCTGAGAAAGGACATCATTTCAAAGAAGGAACATTATCAGAGCTATGGCAGTTCTATCTAGCACATGGATTATTCTGTTGGTTCCTTTGGTACTTCTGCTGTCTGTCTCAGCTACTCCAGCTGGTCATGGTCACGAGCATGATCATGACCACTCTGAATCTGGAGATGATGAACATGTTCATCAAAATTATGACGATTTTTCAGGCGTTGAGATCACAGACTGCCTTGATGACTGTAAAGATTTGCTTGAGGTAATAATTCTAAGCAACTACTTGTCATTGTACATCTTGAAATGATTCTCTTTTTCATTGTAGGGCTGTAAATCTCCCTGTGGCATTTATAGAGACTGTATCAAAGAGTGTCATGAGCACTTTGAGCATTAAGAAGAACTCTAAACTATTAGGACTATGT